AGACGGCTGCCGCCAACGCAGCAATCCAGGCCCAGTGGAGGGCCATGGCGCTCAATCCTTTTTGGCAGTCCCAAATCCCATACATGCCTCCCGGCCTTCAAAATTACCCCCTCCTCCCATCGATGCTGCCCGCGTACACAGGTGAGACGGGCAGGTTACTGCACCAGCAACTGACGTCTGTGAACCAGAGGCAGCAGGGGGGACCCACTCAGACGCTACAAATGGAAGCAGAGAGAGCCGCACAGCTACAGAGCCCTAAGGCGTCCACGCGAAATGTCTTTAGAGGCATCTCCCTACAGGACCTACCAATTCGAAAGCATTCTGACAGTGAAACTGGTAAGTATTGAGCTATCTCTCTGCTTTGTGCATTACCTCGGAAATCGCATAATTGGGCGTCGGCGAAGGACATTGTTACAACGCAGGCAAACAGCATTTGCCAGCGTCTGTTCTGGTTTGTATATAAATTGAAAGAAGCCTAAATGTGTCCTTTACGGAAATTTAAAAGTCAGGGGTATCGCGTGTATTGGTCATCTAGGAATGGAAGTATCCAAATATACTCGCTCATGGGACTTGACACCGATATCCTGTGGTGAGATTAAGACCTGCCACAGTTAGTGTTATTACCAATACGGGAACTAACAATGCTGATAACAGTTTATCTGTGCTATAGTAGTCTTTTAAAAATGACCAGGAATTTTGACGCATTTTATCCCAACACAAATTCAAAACAGGCGTAGACAACAGGATTTATTGAATTCAATAAATTTCGCGACAACTTCTCAACTGCATCCTGTCGTTGCATGAGATTGATACTGAATAGAACACACAACAAATTAACATAGCATAACAGTGAAGGTCATAGTTCACTGTAAATAATGCTTAGATGAAGGACACTGCATTAAATCAGCGTATAGGAAGGAAGGGGGAGGTAGGGGGAATTTAACGAAAATCACGTGGGGATTAAAATTAATTGCCCAATTACCAGGGGGATTGGAGATAGACCACAAGGTCAAGTTACGTGCATAGGTTGAGTTTCTCCTGCTCTATGTAGGCCGCTTCCTCGTAGCGCAGGCTTTGC